TGTGTGTGGTTTTGTGTGTGTGTGTGTGTGTGTGTGTGTGTGTGTGTGTGTGTGTGTGTGTGTGTGTGTGTGTGTGTGAGCACTAACTATAGCCAGAGCTGTCAATGCTAATGTTCAAGGTTGTTCCTGTTTTACATCATTATCATTTAAAAAGAAACAAAAAAACCAACCCACTTTCTGCATACTAAAGAGAGAAAATTCCACAGGTGAAGAAACTATACTGCTAACAGACCATTTTAATGCTTTGAAAAATGGTTACTTTAAAGGAGGCTATGAACTTCCCACTCAAAGATAATGTCTCTTGATCCATATATCTGATGTGGCACTTTCTGTTGTAGGCTTCTGGCTCAGTTAAATGAAACTGAGACTGCCTTTGATGAATTTTGGGCTAAACATCAGCAAAAACTCGAGCAGTGTCTTCAACTTCGTCATTTTGAACAGAATTTTAGAGAGGTGAGAGTTTCCTGGTGCTATTCTAATATTGCCTTTGTGTCACTGGCTGGCTGCAGAAATTGGTATACCTTAATTACACTAGCCAAATTGGCCATTATGCTCAAAAGAGTCTTTGACTCTTTTTACTTTTAAATTACATCAGAATCTACACCCAGGTTCTCTGTATTGTCAGTATTTGAAAACATCATTCACTTTTACCACTGGCATTCCCAGTTGCTTGGCTTAGTAAGAACATCTCTCATATCTATCCAGTTGTCTTTGCTATGGTAAAGGCAGAGTTCCTAAAAATGTTTTCCACTGTCCTTGTTGAATTTGCTCCATTTGCAAGTACCAAGTAATAGGATTGCCTTAGTTTTTATTTTTATAATAACAATGATGTATTTGTTTGCACCTTGAGTTATGATTAAAATTAGCTTCACAAAGTTGCAATTGTCTTTTGCAATCCTTTTTTTAATGTGAGCAAGTCATTGCTACTGAAAATAAGGGTATCCATCATCCAACTGATCGCTTTCAATAGTAGTTTTGAGGTAGATGAAGTAAGCCATTCTAATGCATTGGTCTCTCTAATTTCAGGTCAGAGCAGCTTTAGATATTGTGTCCGAAAGGCTATCTGCTTTCACAGATGTGGGAAACAGTTGCTCACATGTGGAGCACATCCTGAAGGACCTTGCTAGCTTTGAAGAAAAATCACATGTAAGAGCTTTGTAATTTCTCCATGGTTCTTAGCCTACCTGTGTTCCCTTTTTAAAACAAAATGTAAACATGGTTGGTTGATGCATATATTTTATGGGACAAAATCTAAACCCTGAACTGGGCAGAAAGATAAGAAAACACCTTGATATATCAGGCAGTGCATCAGTTAACCATTTGATAATGGCATAAAATGATTTGTATAACATATAAATGTAATTTTCCATAATAAAACCATATTTATGTATTCTACTTGAGATGTTTAAAAATGCCAATCCTATATTATAGATGTATGTTAATCCAGTATTTAAAAAGGTTTTGCTTTCTTAGGAAACTGTAGAAAAAGCCAGAGTGCTTGTCTCTGAAGGAGACCGGTTTATTCAAAGCGAGCATTATGCTGTGGACTCCATTCTTCCAAAGTGCAATGAACTCCAGCATCTCTGTGATGCATTTACTACAGAGACAGACAAGAGGAAAAATCTACTCAACAAATCTCTGGAACTACATAGCCTATTAGAAAAGGTAAATGTAATATGTAATAGTTCTGAATTCCATATCTCGTGCCAATGGCACTGTAAACATGTGGTGCTTCCTTTTATAATGTACATAGTGATTCAGTAAAGAAATACTATTTCTGGCCTGAATCAGACACTTGCTTAATAGATAGGGAAACCATCAGAAATATGATTCTTTTTCTTCCCCTTTTCATAGCTGACTAGCGTATAAGTTATACACCAATGTCCACTCTTTCTGTCTCCTTTTGTTTCCAGTCTATGAAGTGGTGCAATGATGGAATCTACTTGCTGGCTTCACAGCCTGTGGACAAATGCCAGTCCCAGGATGGTGCAGAATCAGCTTTACAGGAGATTGAGAAATTCCTGGACACTGGTGCCGACAACAAAATTGAAGAACTGAATAAAATATGCAAAGAATATGAAACCATCCTTAACCAGGAGTTAATGGTACTCTTGGTGTCTATACATGTGCATTTTGTTAACTTTAGGATTGCTTTCTTGCAAGACCAGCATTAATGATAAGCCACATCACTGTCCTCCTAAGGTGGCAATTTTTGAGGCTCTTTCAACTCCTTATCCATTCTACTCACTAATGTCAGCTACACTATCTGTTGGCTGTACTGGTAGCAGATAGGATGTACCATTCATGGCTGCTTTATTTGATGTCTTTAAGTTAGAAGCTTTGTGAAAATTTCACTCTTTTTTTGGTGTATGAACCCAAACCCATTTTCAAAAGTGACTTGGGCATTTAGCAGCCAATGTCCCACTAATTATTTTTCTTTATTTTTTTTCCTCTTCCTCACAGAACTAGAGCACATTGTCATAGGTAAAATTATTTTAATAAGTGATATATGCTAATGGCATATGGCAACATAGGTTGTGAGTATGTTCCTAACCGTGATGATAGTTTTATGCTACTGTTACAGGAGCATGTGCAGAAAGTTTTTCAGAAGCAGGAGAGCATGGAAGAAATGTTTCAAAAGAGACAAGTGAGCCTTAAGAAACTGGCAGCTAAACAGACCCGTCCAGTTCAGCCAGTGGCACCTAGACCTGAGGCCTTTGTAAAATCACCTTGTACCTCGCCAGGTAAGTACCTGTTGTGACAAAGTCCTTCTGGAAACCCAGAGTTTCCAGGAATTGTCATCTCACGAGGAAATTCGAGTAAGAACTTCCCAGTGACACAATAG